CTGCCTGTCGATTCTGTGCATGTATATAACTAGTTCACTTCTGTATGCACAGGAACTAGAAGACTAACTTCAAAGCAAAGATCTGCATTGCCTATTCTTTCTCGGGGGAAGGCTCTGCTGTGAAAACATGTGTGAGGAGCCTTTCCATCATGCTAGAAGATCTACAAAGGAAAGCTTTAGGCCTGATCCTTTCATTGCAAGGCTGCTTAAACTTTGAACAGGTAAAGTATAAGTCATAAGATGGAGATCTTCCAAATAATTATTCGGCATACACTGGAAAATGCATGGAAGAACTTAAATGGAATCTACACTTGTATTTTCTATTGGACTGTAACTTTTTGAACTGACTCCAGTGGAACAGACACATGCAATCATTCAAAGAACCATCATCTTTTGTCTTTTATCTCCTCTTTTGATTGTAAGCTCCTTCAGGCAGGGACTGTCTTCATGTTCTCAAGGAGCTGATAGAGGAGGTATCTGAGCCTCTAGCTATCATCTTTGGAAAATCATGGGGGACGGGAGAGATTCCAGAAGACTGGAAAAGGGCAAATATAGTGCCCATTTATAAAAAGGGAAATAACAACAACCCAGGAAACTACAGACCAGTTAGTTTAACTTCTGTGACAGGGAAGATAGTGGAGCAAGTAATTAAGGAAATCATCTGTAAACACTTGGAAGGTGGCAAGGTGATAGGGAACAGCCAGAATGGATTTGTAAAGAATAAATCATGTCAAACCAATCTGATAATTTTCTTTAATAGGACAACTAGTCTTGTGGATAAGGGAGAAGCGGTGGATGTGGTATACCTAGACTTTAGTAAGGCGTTTGATATGGTCTCGCATCATTATTCTTATCAATAAACTAGGCAAATACAACTTCGATGAGGCTACTATAAGGTGGGTGCATAACTGGCTGGATAACCGTACTCAGGGTATGTCTACACTACAAAGATAATTCGAACTAACAGATGTTAGTTCGAATTAACTTTGGTAGGCGCTACACATGCAAACCGCTAGTTCGAACTTAATTCGAACTAGCGGAGCGCTTAATTCGAACTAGGTAAACCTCATTCTACGAGGACTAACGCCTAGTTCGAATTAAGTAGTTCGAATTAAGGGCTGTGTAGCCACTTAATTCGAACTAGTGGGAGGCTAGCCCTCCCCAGCTTGCCCTGGTGGCTCGAACTGGCGGAGCGCTTAATTCGAACTAGGTAAACCTCATTCTACGAGGACTAACGCCTAGTTCGAATTAAGTAGTTCGAATTAAGGGCTGTGTAGCCACTTAATTCGAACTAGTGGGAGGCTAGCCCTTCCCAGCTTTCCCTGGTGGCCACTCTGGGCACCACCAGGGAAACTCTTCTGCCCCCCTCCC